AAGCAATTATTATTATTACCTTTTCTGTAATTTACAAGCTCCTGTCATCACAATCCATGAATAAAGAACATTTTTAGTTATTTATACAAAACCTTTGCATCCTAAACTTTTTTTCTGATTTAAAAAATGTCTGTCTTTTTATTTTATTGGTGGAATTCACACTATGGTTTCTATTTTAATGAGATGTGTCTTTGTAATAGAATTAAATGATAATCTCTACAATCATTTTTGTTTATTATTCAACAACAGTCATCAACCGAAGGAATTTTGTAAATGAGTAATTACAGTAGCTGAGTAAAATTCTCATATTAGTCAGAGATTAACGTTATAGGTGTGGACAACACCTGCTTTTGAACTTTTTATCAACAAGGAGATGCAAACAGCGAGAATAAATATCAAACTTTTCAGTTGTAACTAGAAGCTTAGCTGGAAATTCACTTCATAAAATTAATTGCTTTTGCATTGCAATACATTCGATTGATGTATTTTTCTATTTTCTTCAATTGTTTTAAACTCTCTCACTTCCATTCACCTATAGTACATATAATTCTAAACCACCCCACTGTGCATTATCATTTTGTGTGGTAACACTCAGCACACGTGCACACAAAAGAGGTCTATCTGCACACTTTAAACTACAACTTTAAGTTGCTCTCCCCTGTTTCCACATACACAAAGGAAATGGAATCCCAGCTCTCCAGACTGACTCAGAAACCGGATTTCGTCCTGAACTCAACCCTGCTACTTTGGTAGTCTGTTATCTCCCTTACTCAGACTTCACTTTCCCCTCACCTGCTCTTCAATATCAAAATCTGCACCTTTCACCCAGTCCCCACAGGGGCTGGCACCACCTCTCAGCCTACAGACTTCCTATTGGTCAACCCCATCATCCATCCATTTTCTAACCTCTTTATCCAATACAGGGCTGCAGGGAAGCCAGAGCCTGTCCCAGCAAGCAATGGGTACAAGGTAGGATACACCCTGGACATAACTCCAGTCAATCACAGGGCACACAGACTCAAACACACACATTCACACCAGGGTCAGTTTTTCCAGAATGAACCTGCCATCATGCATTTCGACTGGGGAAAGCAACCTGCATTAACCCTGGGGAACACAAACTCTATACAGATAGCACTCCATAAATTTAACCTAGGGCCCCAGTGCTATGAGGCAGCAGTGCTAAAATGATCTTCTGCTATACTCTACAACAGGAACATCTTGCATCTATGTTATGAATGGGGTTTAGTGTCAAATGTGGTTAAGTTGCAGCAGGTACTGTATACTGCGTCACTGGAAGCAAAAGTGGACTAAGGAGTAAGACCAGGAAGCAATTCATTCCTGGCTAGCTACACGTTTCAAGCTCTTAAGCAGTTTAATCAAACAAATTGAATGAAGTCATTTAAATGTATTCTTTTAAATGACTTTTTAAAAGTGCACTCAAAAAGGCATTAACATATTACAATCTGTTAAAACTACTTCAGGATCACAATGCACAGTTGATCATTTTACACATCCAGTAAATAAAAAAAGATACAATAAAAAAGAGAAAACAAAATTTTGAACTCACACCCCTGTGGTGTGAAACAGTATGGAGTTTTAGAAAAAATATTTTTCAGCTTTAGGAAATCTTTTTGGATTTGGATCAACCACCTTTTGAGCACATTGTTAAAGTAAGATTTTTTTTTTATTCTGTAGACAATAAAAACAGTCATCTAAGGGTCATTTTCTTTATCTAACACATTAATGAGAATTCACATCACATACTGTATGCTACAGCCACCAGCCAGTGTAGTATGTTGCTCTTTGTGGAAAGGAGGTCAGTATCTGTCAGTTATGCAATAGAAACCTCTATCATATTTAAGGCTAGAAAGTCTTTGAGACCCAGAAAAAAGGCAGTTCACATCATAAGATCACCTCTGAGTCAGCGTCTAGTCTTATGTGACCCAAAATGGCCCTCTGGTCTTGTTTCCAGTGGCACAAATACAGCCGAACACAAAAATGTCTAACAGGTGCCAAGCTAATTTACAGGCAATATTTTAACTTCATGTGTACTATAGTGAGTTGCCATTTAAAAAAAAAAGACTGGCTCAGATGGCTGAGAACCCAAAATGTTTTTCAACTGCATATTCCATTCATTCATTTGAAAATACAAACACTCATAATCCACATATAAATACATCCAACAATCACTTAGTCCATGTGGTTATGGCAATACAGAGCCTACCCCAGCAGACAATGGACACAAGGCAGAACCACACGTATATATTTGATGTGAAATATAGGACAATCTCATTAATATTTACTGTAAATTACATTCTTTGAATAAAATTGGAAAAATGACAGTAAGAATTCATCTTTAAAATCAGTACAGTACTTTTGAGTCTCATACAATCCTAGTCAGAGATTAATATTTATAACAATATTTTATCAATATTTTGAAATAAATAAATATATAAATACCACAAAGTTAACAAACAATTTCTTCATAGGTGAAGTAATTGACAAAGAAAAAACAAATGTATTCTGGAGACATTAACATTTTCCTGTAGAAAAATAAAATATCTTTAAACAAATGGAGTACAAAGCTCATGCTGGAAGTTTCCTCCCCTGCCCATACCCTTAATGCATGACATTAGGCAATATGGAAAAGCTTGCTCAAGAAAACTTGACCTCTTCTTCCTTATGTCCCTTACTCATTTTTAAGCCTTAGTTCTGCACTTTCATGAACTTTTCTGTTGAATCAGTCCTCTGTGCCTCAAGATGAGCCTTATTCACTTAGTATGAAGCCATACTATGTGGCTTCATACTAAGCCATATCACCAGCAGCCAGCAGCCATATCACCCTGCAACTCACAACTGGCAGCCCACTGAAGCTAGGCAGGAGTGAGCCTGGTCAATACCTGTATGGGAAACCTCCTGGGAAAAACTAAGGTTGCTGCTGGAAGAGGTGTTAGTGGGGCCAGCAGGGGGCGCTCACCCTGTGGTCTGTGTGGGTCTTAATGCTCCAGTATAGTGATGGGGACACTATACTGTAAAACAGGCGCCGTCCTTCGGATGAGACGTAAAACCAAGGTCCTGACTCTCTGTGGTCATTAAAAATCCCAGGGCATTTCTTGAAAAGAGTATGGGTGTAACCCTGGCATCCTGGCCAAATTTCCCATTAGCCCTTAGCAATTATGGCTTCCTAATAATCCCCATCTATGAATTGGCTTCATTACTCTCTGTTCTCCTCCTCACTAACAGCTGATGTGTGGTGAGTGTTCATGGCTGCCGTCGCATCATCCAGGTGGGGCTGGTAATGAGTCCCCATTACCTGTAAAGTGCTTTGAGTGGAGGGTCCAGAATATAAATATAAGTTTAAGCAATTATTATTATTATTATTATTCTCAATTTCACTCTGGTGTTTTGGTGCCAAAGTCACTTAATTCTTTCACTACCTGAGAAAGGAATTCAGTATATTTCTTCAAGACACTGCAGCCAAACAACTTCTGCTGGAAATAGTTGCCGTTGGCCAGAGGAGAACTCTCCTGTCCTTTGACAACAGACAGTTTTGGGAAGGTCATCAGCAAGTTATTGGCAAGATCTTTGATGCGGCTCTGAGCCTCGATGAGCATACTGTGCAGTGTGTCGTCAGCAGGGTACAGCAAATCCCGTTGCTGTTCAGAGATTGTGTCAAACAGCCCTTTGAAGTGTATCAGAGATGTGTATATACTCTGCATCCTTTCAACAGGCTCTTTACCAGTGATTCCAACATCCGGGACCACCTTCAACTGCACTAGGGTGCATATCCGGTAGATATCTCCTTGTTTGAATGCCTAAGAATGAACATGAACATCTTATTTATGTGAATTAAAAAGAAAACATTACGTACCAAAATATGTACATTTACTACAGTATGCCAGAGAGCTTTTATATGTAATATTTTTTCCAAGTCTGGCATGAACTGAATACAACAGTAGAGTACTTCTTTGGTCCTTGATGTGGGATGCATTTTAAGTGCAAAATCCTTAACTGACATTATTACTTAATAGCTGGAACTATAAAAAGACAACATTTTTCTCCACCCAGATCCTCAATTTCTGAGGTTAATTCTTTATCTATAACATTCTCTTAATGTCTTTCTCATGACAACAAGCATTCTGATGGTTTTAAAAACCAGAGTGCGAGCTATCTGGGCACTGATGGTACACATGTCACCAGCAGCCTCAGTGGGATGCCAGGGTGTTTGTCATTTCAAGTGGGTTATGCAACTGAAGATAATAAAGAAAAATATGTAGAAACCTTTGGTACTTGCGTGCCCAACAACTGTTCAAAACTGTCACTCTCTGCTGTTGGAAAGCCCTAGTGTCTTCTACAATTTGTTCCAGTCAAAATCTCAGTGACGTACAGTAATTCTATATACCTGATTAACAGAAATAACTTAATACTTTCACCCAGGCTCAAAAAAGTCTCAAGAAATACTGTACCTTGAGCGTACAAACATTTACAAATGTAAGGCTAAGCCTAATTAAGAAAATATTTAGATGAAGTATTCCAGTTGGCCCTGTCTGTGACCCTGCAGGAATTTCCTATCTTTACTACAGTATAGTCTAAGCAAGAATTGTGTGATCACAGAAACTTACATAGGTTTTCAGGAGCTGTTCAGAATCCTTCTTCATTAATTTTGCTAGTTTTAGGCTCTTTAGCTGGATTCTTCTGTCTCTCGCTGCTTCACCATAGGTAATGAGGAAAAAGTACACAAAGCCTGGCAAGAAAAGCATGTGCTTATGAAAACCAAAGCAGTCACTCATGAAAAACAATTGTGGGTGCATCTATAATCTTACCACACGTGCTTTACTTTGGATAGTCTAATGTTTCCCACAGAAAACACTACAAGGTTATCAATGAATTACAATTCAAAATCCCAGGAAAAGAAAAAATAATATGGGAATTTCCAGTAAGAAAAAAATTAAAACAATTATTTAAAATAGTACAGGATTTGCAATATACTCCTTTTTAGAAAACTGTTCAGATTTGATTACTTGTGGTAATGTCCGGTAAGTAAAATCAAAGTCGACATTTTCTTCAAAAATACGTTTCTCTTTTAAAGATACCCAGATGTTAGGGTGATCAACTATTTTAAACAACAAAAATAGCAATAGCAACAAGTACAAGAGCAATACTGGTAAGGTCTTTAAAAAAGATCCAACAAAAAAAAAATCACAGATAAAAAGTCAGTGTATAGTGAACACACTGCTTGGAAACTGTGTCCAGATTGGATCCTTCCTTCACTTTAAATCTAACCTCAAGATATCAAACAAAACCCAGGTGGATAAGACACTTATCACAACTCCCGGAGTTCCCACTGTGTCTAAAGTTTAAAGCATTAAACATGAACACTAGCACTTCTTTAAAAAAGAGAACTTTTTCACTTTTCTTTATGCTCCTCATCAACTTCTTTATGTAGAGAGTAACAAAGACCATTTTTTACCTAATGCTGATCGGATCCCATATCGATGGAGAACCATGCTAGCAGCTGAATAAATAGTCTGGTATTCTCTGTATGTAGTGTATAGCACTCCACACCAGATGCGTCTGAGCAGTGCTGATGCTGTACAACTTTGACTACAAATGCAACACAGGAAGTGACAGGCAATTCTCAGAAATAATATTGCAATATTATCGGTACCATGACACTTTAGTAGCTCATCCCATCTTACCTCAGGTCTAGAATTTAATGTAAGAACAAGATATATAATTTTTAATCCTGAATAATACACACAATCATGCAAGAGCTCCATCTATTTCAGAAAAATAAGATTTATAGTGCAGAAAGTGGAGAGTTTCTTTCACTATTATCATTACTTGTTTTGGTGGGGGAAGGTACTGTTTATTTTTTAGAGAGGACTGTAGCAGGACACAAAGTAGAACAGTCATGTGGTACTGAAGTGGAAAGCACCACATAAAGATTTGGCAGATTTGGTCATTCTGCCTTCACCAGTGGTCAAAGCTTTCAGCAAAAGAAAATGAAAATCAAACTGAAAGCCATGAAGTCAGTGATTTCAACGTCCTAAAGTTAAAGCCACAATGTTTACCAGACATTTTTAAATTGGACAGTTGGCACTCCAATCGTATTTCCCTGCCAGAATCCCTGTAATGGCTGTATGGGTGTAAACTCACTTCACCTCGCTGTCTACACTCTGTAGCTGTAAGAGAGCTGGCAGGGCCACCCATGTGGACGAAAGACAGTCAGGGATTGAACAGTTCCCATTTTTACAAGTAACTTATTCCACCATTTAGAGGCATGGCCGGAGAATATGCTGGACAACAAATGTTATAAATTACTGATTGCAATTAAATGCAGTCTTTCATTACACCTTAAAATGCTATAATTTTTTTTGTTATTGATTTAATACAAGACTATTTATTTTAAAACTACTGTTCAATATGGCCATTTATTATGGGTATGTTCTACTGTACAACAAGGCTTTCTGGCATCCTCAAAGGCTGGTATTCTTAGCCCTGAGGGATAGGCAATTTCCAGAGTTTTCCAGGTTATTTTAACCTGAAAGCGGATACCTTCTATCAAGAAGCATGATTCTGGCCAAAAAGGTTTCAATGTGTGCTTTGGATCATGATCCTGTTGAAATGTCCATTTGTTACAACAATAATGGAAAGATCTGAAGCAAGCAGGATCAGGTGAATAAGCTACTGTACCAGGCCCTGTTGTTTCAGGTGATACCCTGTCTACTTTCAAGAAAAGGTTGGATAAGATCCTTGGATCAATTAGAGGCCATCAAACAGGCTAGATGGGCCTAATGGCCTGCCCTCATTTGCAACGGTTATTAGATCACAGACTTGGGATCCTCAACCTGGAGATCCTGGAGCGGATCTGTGTAGATAAGTGGACAAAGACCTCACTTGAAAAAGGCTTGAGCCTATAAAAAAGGCTTCAGAAAGTACCTTGTGATGAAGTCAAGGTCAACGGACACAAAATACTGATTAATTTACACTGGCTGGGTGTAGGTGCAACGAAGTAGTGTAGTGTAGGAAGAAAGGCCTTATTTGGTATAGCAGTTATGGCAGTGGTTCTTGTGATTTTTGTTCCAGTCAAATTCTTCATCTCAGGGTAATTTCTGTCAGTTTTCTAATTGTGGCATAGTTGTAAATTTGTTTTCTGTTCTTCAAAGGTCAATAGGGATTTGTATTTGGTATCATTTTTAAAATTTCCCTCATGCAGTTGTGTTGCCACAAGTGCGCTTAAATAGCCCTCTGCAGAAGGAGAATATTCTCATTGTGGGAGTGGCCGATACAGTGTCATTCCAAAATGTTCCAGTATAAATAGGCCACATTATTAGAGCTGTTCAGTCAGAAATAACAGCAAGTTGAGGAAAGACTGCATCAAGTTCATGTGCTAAGGTTATTGGAAACGGTACCCTTGAAGTCCAGCTGAGCGGGGATGAAACTAGATACTGTTCCTCCAGGAAAGGGATGGGAACTACAGAATTAGAGTTGATTTTCTCAATTCAGGAGTACATTTGTTTATTTTAGGAGAATAGATTTACCTTTCTTCTGCTGTGTCACATTTGGTCAGTGCTGGGATTTGCTTGTCACTGAGAGACAAATGGAGAGAAGTCTTGGGATTAAAAAAAGGGTGGGACCTGATAACTCAAACCTCCTGTAAATATTAATTCAGATGTTTTGTGTTTTTCGCATGACCATTACTGACTATTAGGAGGCTTTATGTTTCTCTAAATCTGCCTTCTAGGACTGTGGGTGTGAGGACTGACTATCTCAATTACTGTAGATATCACTATATTTAAACAAAATATTTGGCAGTGCAATATATATTTTTGTAAAATATTTATTTTGGTCACTTATTAAAAAAAAACTACACTTGCATTGTATTTGCTATGCCATCTTCTAGTTATACTTCATGGGTATGAACAAATTTGGTGTGTAAATTGGTTAGATCACACTGAATGCGAGAGAAAGATGTATCAAGTTGCGAGGATTGAGCTGGGAAGCCGGCTGCATGGGTGTAGAAGAACAGGCCAGGGGGTTGAGAGATATCAAAAGGAAGTCCTGGGTGAGAGATTTGAATGTGTAGGAAAGGGGAAGCATGCAGGATTAGGATCTAATCTTCCTCCTAAATTTCTATTATAACTTGTTAGAATTCCTTTCGATTCCACATACTGTACTGCAGATCTGTTTATGCCCTTACTCAATGCAGTAAATAGGCTCTATTAACTAAACCTTCTCCCTGCTTTTTTACACGTGTGCAAGGCAAAAAAGGGGTTAGAATGGTGGGGATGTGAAACTAAAAAAAAAAATTCAACCATTCAATCTACAGATCTTTACAGAGCTAGACAGTTTGCTTTGCATAAAAACCCTTCTTCACACACAGAAATGGGTTGATGAGATCCATTAACTATTAACTACCAAACAGGCTGTAAAGGCCAAAACACTACATTCTTCATCCAATTAAACTAATGAGGAAACAAAAGGTAAAATAATTAAGAATAAGAGTCAGAGACATACACTCTTTACCTTTAGCCCAACAAGTTTCAACAGACAGAAGATACTAAAGGAAATAACGTACATAAGGAATCTGCTAACGTACAGGAAGAATTTCTCAACTAAGACACTGATAGTGGTGAAACAGTGAGTTACGTCATTGAATCTGCAGTGCGTATTCCCACTAGAGCAAAACACATTGTAGAAGTGTATTGTATGTCAACATTTTGCAACATCTTAGTGTGACAGGTGATGTAATGACTCCAGAATTAAAGATTGCATGAGCATGTATAACACATTGCTGATAATCCAATACAAGAGAACAACAATATTGTTGGACAATCCCTTGGTTCATGGGAAATGCAAAGAAGGATCTACCTTATTTTTAGTGCAGTTTAAAACTTTTCTAACACTTATGCACCTTAACAAATCAAACAAAAACACTATTTTAAGAAGTACCATTGGTAGTTTTCAATGCATTCCTTGTAATATTATTAATTGGACTTGTTATATGTATAGCAATCTCAGTGACAATTTATACTTTGCAAATATGCAATAAGTGAAAAGGATAAAAAGGGTTGCCAAATGTGGTGGCAAATGATGCTGCAACACTTCAATGTTGCACAACCAGGATCTTCGTAATCACGAAGACACTTATAGTGAAAAACTGTAAACACAATTGCAGACCATTTTGAACATTTGCTGGATGAAACTTTTCAACCAGATTCAGCAAGTTCCAACCCACTTTATCTTTATCGCACAACCAAATCGCCAGTAAGCCAAAGGAAGTGATTCACTGTCAGGGAGCTGTTTGACGACCGTGTTCCTCTTTGAATAATTTAAGGTTCCCCTGAATAAAAACTGGGAGAAGGGGAAGTTTCTTTGTTTTGGTGATGAGCAAAATGTCACAGCAGAAAAAGAATAAGAGAAAATGGACAGGTCAAATGCTGCGTTTGAACTGATGCATGATCAAAAAATGGGTTTGTGAAAAACTGATTTCCATGACAAGGCTCGGAACAGCATGAATGCAACGTCCCAAAACTGACTTAAAACTGAACATTAAAAGGCGAAATACTATAATAGAGCACAAACTACAAACCCTCCCCTCCAAACACACCTTAAATGACAGAGACAGAGGTCAGCATTACTTAACACTTATGTTTTCTAAGAAAAAATAACTAGAAATGAACTGCATGGTTAGATTATTCAGCCATCTGTAGAATTCAGTTAGACATAGAATTTATGTTCTCCGTGTTAGTCTTTAAATATATTTTTATGCCACGTCCATTTATTTTCTCTGCTGTGCGTGTCTTCATCCCAAACATTTAACATAAAACAAGGGGTTGATCGTGGTTGACCAGGTTAAGTAAAGATAAGTTAATATCTCCACTTTGCTCTCCAAACAGCCACCCATAATAAACCGATTTCAAAACTGCACTGAATTGTACTGTACATCCCTATATAACAGTACAACAATTAGTCCTACTAGTGAAGAATGTGGAAGATATGTGGGCGTTTCAGAATTTGCAAAGCTGGCGAGCAGATAGTGTAATTCACCACAAACATGGTAAAAAAAGTGTGGGCTTCTCTGGAACTCTGAGAAAAATGTAGCATATTGTTTAAAGAAAATGCTCCACCCAGCCTGTGTGACTGATGAGTAAAAAATCAGAGTCCTGTGAGGGGGTGCTCAGATGAGGTAAAAGGCAGGCTTGAGTGATAAAATGAACAGAGGGACCAGTCGAAGCTTGTGGTCCATTCAGCCCATGCCATAACAACATTTTACATATGTCATATTTTCCCATCTAAAAAAGAAAACAAAAAAAATGTTTTTTGCAATGCATGAGACTCTTTAAGCTTTCTTCAGTGTACAGCATCATGAATGAGTCCAGCTCTTTTTAGATTCTTCCAGTGGGCATCTATACAAAATCTGTAGCGCAACCTATTTTTAAACATACGTGTTTAAGACACGCTTTTCAGTACCATTATTTCAGCTGCATGTATTAAAATGGCAGTTGTGTCCAGGACATGACAAGGTGGTTGTTTGTCTTTTATTTTTATTGACTATTTACGGGTAGGATTTTTCAGTGCATTGCATCATGGAAAGGGTTGGAGAAAGCCCCTGTCATACTTCACAACTTCACTTCCTCTGACAGATGCATATCGCGGTTATGCCCCTGACTATGAAAACCAGACATCTAGGAAACTTTGAATGGGTTCAAAGAAGTCAAATAGTGATAGGATAAAGCGTTTCATGTACAGTACCTGTGAAATTCCCCTTCACCTCTGTCTTTTTAACCTTTTGCTCATTATATTTGCAAGCATGATGGCATGTATGAATACCATTCCTAAGTAAAATGTATAAAATATGTATAAATCAATAAACACAGTTTGTTAACTATACTAGAAAGAAAATCTTTTGTCCCCAAAGCTGCAACATCTATTTGATAGGTCACTTCTTATGGATCATTGGATGCCTACACACATGTACAACAGTCAGCATTTCTGAAGTAATCAGCAAGTTCATCTGAAGTTCCAATGCATACAATTCTGGGGCCATATTTTTTTTTTTTACTTCATTTCTAAAAGGTTATGAACGATGAAGTTACTGATAATGTTTTAACAGGATGTAGGATATCGTATTTTCTAATAACAACCAGATACAATCAGTGTTTTAAATGCGTCAAGTAGTTTAAAAATGATTATCATCACACCACTTCCTGATTCAGGAAATGTAGTCTTCTACAAAACTATCCAAAACACCATCGAGGTTTTCTGGAGGTCTCCTCACTGGATCTGGTTAAATAAGAGCTCTTGAAAGCTACACGGGTGAAATGTCAGAATCGAAACAGTTCAAATGCATTCCCAGGAAAGCTCATCTGGGATATCAG